CATATGTTATTGGACTAATACAATACAATATTTAGAAAACTAGATTGCCCGTTGACCTGGTGAGGGGCCGGTTTTAATTTTCCCGGTGATTTAGCAAGTTTAAAACTTAACAGAAATATCTCTGATAAATTACATGTAAGTCCCCACAGGTTTTAAATCCAGCAAAAATACCCCTATGATCTTGGCAGGAAACCGCTAAGGAGACAGTGGCAACTACAACGATAGGTAGCCAATGGGACTTCGAGATGATGGGGGGTTTTGATGTGAAGATGAAGGTGATGTCGATGGTGGTGTCAAGTGGGGTGTTTGGCATCAGAATCGACCATAATCAAAGAGGAAGTTTCCAATTGAACCTGCGATTCGTTACTATTCTATTGGTCCAACGCCGGCCCAATCTGGGCCAATTGCAAAACCAGGTTTGAGGGGTAAACTGGACTGGAGTTAGCGCCGCATATATAATTAACAATAATAGTTTTGTTTACAACTGACGGCTGAGTTATATAAACGGACAAAAATTGTATAAAATTTATGTAAAATAACTATTTTATCCTTTATTTTTTATCTGTTTGTATGACTCAGTTATGCAACTCAATTGTAAGTATAGCATTACACGTTAATTAATACTTCTACAATAAATATTATTGTAAAATAAAAATGTTAACGTAAATAGATCCCAACCCATATATATATATATATATATATATATATATGATCAGTTAAACGTGACTGTATATTAGCAAAATCTCAAATACTAAGAAGTCTACATAGAAAGATAAAAATAAAATAGTAATGGACATGTACCCTCCTGGAACCCTGGTCGGTAAGATTTGTCTGCAAATTACAGGTGTTTCCTTCGACAAGCTGGATATTCTGAATCCCTTCTCTGCCCCTGTCTCGGATTCTCAGCTCTCCAGAAAAATGCTCTTGCATAATAAACTTTTGATTTATGGAAAGTTCAAGGAAGCAAGAAAAAAGATGCCTTAGCTCTTGCATCAAAAAAAGTGCTTTTGGTTGATTTTGTATTATTTGTATGGAAAGTTCAAAAAAATTCTCAGAATAATAGAAAAAACAATTGACCATGACTTGCTTTTGTTTATTTTATTTCTTTAATTACTGTAATGTCGTCAACTAATCAGCGTTGATGTCGCGCAAATCCACTGATAACGCGTCGCCACGTGTCAAAACCGCCCTTTCACCGCCACCGTACGTTTACACCGGATTTTGTTTCAGAATTTTTCTCCTATAATAAATACAAAGTTTCGTTAATTTCTTCGAAGAAGTACTGTTTTTTCTCAGCAACCAAACAGAAAGATAAACTCTTGGTTTGCTTTTCACCTGAAAAGCTCATAAATTTCTTCGTGGAGCTTAAAGTAATGATCTTTAATCTCGTGGTTTGTTTTCTTATTTTGTTTTGTTGGCTTATAGAAAATTTTCCAGCAGAAAGAAGATGCCCTGGCTTCTGCATAGTAAGCTTTTGATTGAGCTATATGCGGAAAGTACAGGGAAAATTCTGAGCATAATCCTTATTTTCCTTATAATTTATTGGAGCAAAACAATTGACCATGACTTGCTTTACAGTTTAGTCTTTTCTGAAAATAAAGCAGCAGCGCAAATAGTAACGAGGAAACACAGTAACATTTTTATGTTAAAAAACCTTTTCAATTAAAGGGAGCGAAAGATCACGAGAATATAACGATCTATTTAAATTCATTATAATTGAAAGAGTTTATAACAAACATAATCCATCAAAAATATTCTACACAAATTTCTTATTTCTCATTTTTTTTTTAATTTTTTTTTCTTTTTGGCTTCCAAAGATTATAATATAAATTTTCATAATTTTGATTAAGCCTAACCTAAACTGAATTAAACCAAAACTTAAATTAAGTCAACGTGGTCTTGACTTTTAATATGAATTAATAAAAAAAAAAGAAATTTCTTAGTATAAACATAGATAATAACTCAAACTTCTTTAATGATTTTGAGCAGCTAAACGATAACATTTAAAATGTAAGAAAGTAGTGGGTAAAGAGTGAAGAATAACGTTCAGTAAAATACAGTTAAGGTTTAATTTGGGAAAGCAGGAACATTCTTAAACACAAAACAAACTCACAAGATCCATGCTTTTTTCCATCAAATTAGAATAAAAAACCTCAAAAAAAATATTCATGATTCAACCCTAAAATAAACTAAAGCTAATTATGGCACATTTATGAGTGAAAGCTTCAACAATTTCAGTCTTCAAAAGTTTTAAGAACAAATAACATAAAGAAAGTGAAAGAGAAATGAGAGAATAAAGAATTTTAGAGATAAAATCATAAAAAACAGATGAGCATAGAAAATAGTGGAGAGAGTTTTAAACTTTTAATATGATATAAGTGTGAGATATATATATATTAATAACAAGTTTTTTATGAGTCTGGATATATGTATAATATTTCTTATTTTTTTAAAATCCAAAAATAGACCTATATATATATATATATATATAAATTGTATTTTTTTATGAGGCTATATAAACAAATTTTTTTTTTTTTTTTTTAAATGTGAGGGTAGGCCTACCCTCGAAGGGCTGGGTCCGCCCCTGTACTGCCCTGCATAATCTAGAAAACTTTTCATCAAAGGTGAACAATATAAAATAAATTACAGTGTGGACTAGAGAAAAAATAGCAGCAAAATAGAGGTTGCTGGGGCCTTTAATTGTGAATGAATGAATTTACCAATGAGCTGGATTTGAGAGAGAACAAATTTTCAATTTGAATTCGGCTGAGAGTTTGTGATCTGGATGTGTTAATGGCAAAACCAGTTTGTAATAATCTAAATGAAACAATGATGATCTTCAACTTGCTTGTGTCAAATAATTCTAGACTCCAATACAATTGAGATTGCTTCCAAGATGATTATCACTACAACAAGTGTCAGCTTGTTTTATTGTGTTCGATCAACCATTCATAACCCTTTGGGGGCGATGGGTTGGGGATAATGTGAGATTACTGTAATTATGTTATCTTATATTATTTGATTACCACGTTTAATTGTCAAGTAATATAAGATTCTGATACCAATAGTAATTACTATCAGTAATATTTGAGGTAATATGATTATTACCATTTTCTTAGATATTCTAAGATTAATAGAGTAATTTTTTTTTTACAATTATATCATTTATTAATAAAATTTTAAGACAATAATATCTTTATTTTTAAATTTATTTACATGAATATGACTTTTACTATTTTACCCAAATTAATTAACTTTTTTGACAAAATTACCCTTAAATTCAAAATAAATTACAGCTCACCCAAGCCACCACCCCCACCCACCGGCCACCGGCAATTGCCGCCGCCACCAGAACGATGAACGACAGGCAAAAAATGGTCGCCGTGCGCCGATATGGCCATTTCCGGCTATACTAAATGATATCTTCTTTAGAACATCAAATGTCCACAAGCGCTTGTTGGAACTGCCAGTCTTTCTGAAACATCAGTAGCTGTCTGCCGGCGCAAGGGAAGAGCTGGGGAATCAACGAAATGCATTGCAATAATGTTACAACAACAAGAGAAAAAATTTCAGCACGTCGTTGCATTATCCCATCGTCGCGAAACTAAAACATGGCGTCGGAAGGACAACATACTAGACGTAAATCAAATCACAACATAAATATCTCATAGCTGCTTGGCCAGACAATGCCACAACGCAGTCTCGAAAAGAAGACTTGAAATATATTCCGTCGCAAAGCAGGCGCTCTAAAGCACTTGTTAGAATATTTGAAATATCTGCTACTGTTGTTGTTTAACACAAGAGCAACAACATAATGATAGCAAAAACAGGAAGAAAATAGACTGCAAATTGATAGAATTCTAGGTGGGTCTGACTCCTCACCCAATAAGACCTTGTTGAATAGGAGGATTACCCCCTCTTATAACCCAATAGGCTTAAGCGTGCCTAGTCGGTATGGGACTCCAACACTCCCCCTCATAGTCAAGCCCATATGTTGGGTCATGCCTGTTGATGGAGGTAGTTGCTGACTCTAACTCCTCAACTGAACCTGGACTCTGATACCATGATAGAATTTGAGGTGGGTCTGACTTCTCACCCAATAAGGCCTTATTGAATGGGAGGATTACTCCCTCTTATAACCCAATAGACTTGAGCGTGCTTAGTTGGTATGGAACTCCAACACAAATTACAAATTTCATTGAATGAAAGTGCAATTTATACTAAAAAAGTGCTGCAGGAATATAATAAGAACAGCAGTTAACAAGCATGATTACACTAATAGCAGTTAATAAGCTTAATGTCTAAATTCTAGCAACCACTTAGTTTAACAACTTCAGAAACTTGACTCATTCCACCAGTAACTGAAACACCTCATCAATCTAATCAGCACTTCCAAGTCAGCAACACCTCTGCAGCATCTTGAGACACACGTTCAACAGCTCCTATGTAAATAAAGCTCTTTCCGATCCTCTCTCGCTGGTTCTTGGCATAGATTCCCATCTCCTGTATAACTCTTTACGGACTTCTTTTCGGTAGATACATATTTTCCTGGCAGCCATGCAGAATTCACTGCAGTATTCAGATGAAAGCCAGTAAAATCAAAATGATCAAATCCATCAACGAAAAAAAAACCCATTTGTAGTCTGAGTCTACAGTGACTTATCGTTTGTTTGCTAAGAGAAACGTTAAGAAAATTTAGCCTCTCTTTTTCTATGCTTTCTAAATTCTCATTACAAAACCTGCATTGGTTAGTTTCAATGAAAAAAAAGACCAAAATGGCTCCCTAGAACTAAAGATATAGACATTTCATGGCTCTCCCAGAATAAGAAGATCAATAACAAAGAGAAAGAAGAGATACATAAGGAAATGACAATGCAAATGGCACACACCCCCAAGAAATTTCATCTTCACGCAAGTAATGAGCTTCATCGGAAATGTCAACGTAGAGTACATTCCATCTGGGTCTGTCTCCCCACACCTCTTCCATAGCTTGAAACATTTCATCCCTCAGTTTCCTAAAAAGTTGTTCATAGCAGGTAACCATTGTCAAATCAATCACCATGTTCAAATGCTTCCCTGTCACTCTCATATGTACCTGGAAGACGATATTTACCCTTAGAGACTAAGTAAAAGTCTTTGTTCATGTAATAATTTTCAACAAGAGTGATGCCTTTAGCACATATCCTAATTTGCTCTCATTCAATAAAATTCTCTCTATTTCATAATTTAGTAAAAAAATTTAGAACAGGGGGCTGAGAAAATTTTGACATCTAACAAACCCAAAACAATACTTAGGTGGACTCGACGCACCACATCATTTGTGTTCATCTTACAATATTACGACACATAATTCATATTAACTTCAAAACCAGGTAATTATGATTGTGCACATATCTATTTTTTGCTTGATCTAACAAAGTACGTAGGACTTTCATTAAAATTGAGAGGAAGCAACCCAAGTCAATCAAGCTCCATACCATAATATTTCCTAATCCATCGTGCAGCTGGTTGACTTGATTTTCAGCTGGTGGCTCAGCCGCATTATGAGTACCATTTTCATGCTCCTTTCTGAAGGCAAAGACGACAGAGAAAGCACGAAAAACAGCAAAGGCTAGCGGCAATAATGATAGGTTATACTTGTCATACACACCCTTCTGTAAGAAAATAAGGTGAAGGATTGTTGTGAGTAATAGGATCCCAGAAACTAAAAGCTCCACGTTCGCAATTGGTCTCTCATCTGGTAATCTGGTGGATCTTCCCTTCAAATAAACCCATAACGTTGGGATAAAGACAAATAGTGCCAAAAGAAATGCAGCCACAGTGAAACGAAGCTTGCCTTTCCCAATGGAATCCAATACAAATGATATTGCCTCCAAAATAAGAAATAATACTACAAGCGCCAAATTCTTATATTTATAGTGCAGATATAACATAAGTGAGCGCTTGTTACCGGGTAACTTGCCATCCTATGATAAAAGACTTTTAAGTATAAGAAACAGAACCAAAAATTTAAATTTCTTAAACATTCTAAATGTCACTTTCAAGTTTAAGTACTCAAACAACAAACCTTATCTTCATCCTCCCCCTGCAAGGTAAAGACAAAAGAAGAATAAGTAAGCTCCTTGTTTTGATATCCCAAATCGAATGCTATAGTAATCGTAAATTTTCTACTACATGTACAAGCTCACTATATTACATTACCGTTTGACCTAAAAGCTTACCTTTAAGGTCAAACGATAATTTAACATAACAAAAGTTTTTAAAGTTTGAATCACACATTAATGAGTAAAAAATAAATTTACATTTCACTTGAGTGGAACTGTTATCGTGTGTATTTAGTGATCAAGGCAAATGAAAAATGTTTTCTCATAAATTATTAGAGAATTTATCTAGAAAAGAATATAGGTCGCTCTCCAGGCAAGTCATTTATTATATTTGAAGCCCTACACTGATTGTGCTTTAGTCATGAAAGAAAGTTTGCAAGAGGATGAATTCATATACCTGGATATCTTGTGGTTGATCATGCCGGAGAATTTGACGATCCACATCTGACGCACGGGAGGCAAGGTCATCAGGTGATCTGCGGGAATCAATCTGAAAACTTGTATGTTGGTCCTTTTCAATTTGCACACGCAGGTCATCAAGCTTCCTAAGTTGCTTCTCTTTTAAACTGAGCAAAACAACTAATGTGGTATAGCAGACTAGTCGGAAAACCGATGCTATTATAATTGACTGCTTGTTCTTAGGTTCCAAAGAAAAGCATAAGTATAAAACAACGAACTGAAAAGAAAGCAAGGTCCACATAACCACAGCATCACTATGTATGGTGCTCATTAATGTCTCAATGAAGCCAATAAATGTCACGAACTGGGTAAAAATAAATAAATAGAAGCCCACGTCTTCCATCAATGGATTCGATAACCTGTCTCCAATTAATAGATAGCATAAACATGGTATTGCCTCGAAGAAAGCAAATCCTATGAAAAACGAACGGTATAGACACCTTAAACAAAACCCCTGTAATAAGACAATAAAGCATATATATAAGATACACATCCTCAAATAATTGAATAAAAAAGTCTTTCAAATTTTTAACTGATAATAAACAGTGTAAAACTTTGCATCCCAATTTTGCAAGTGTAGTAAATTAAAGAGGAAAAGAGAAGATAAAAGGTCCAGTTTCTTTACATGACAGCCTTTAACAACACGCCACAGTGTAGACCATACTGACACATCTTCAGACACAAGGAAGGCAAGGCTATCGGGTGGTCTGCGGAAAACCTTTCTGAGACTGAGCGAAACAACTAATATGGTATAGCAGACTAGTCGGAAAACCGATGCTGTTTTAATTGTTTCCTTGTTCTTAGGTTCCAAAGAAAAGCATGAGTAGAAAACAATGAACTGAACAGAGAGTACGATGCCCATAACCACAGGATCACTATGTCGGTTAATGGTAAAAGCATTTGATGTCTTAATGATACCAATGAATGTCATGAACTGAGCAAAAAGAAATAAATACATGCCCAAGTCTCCAGTTAAGAGATTCCACAACCCGTCTCCAATTAATAGATAGCATAAACATGATATTGCCTCGAAGACAACAAATCCTGTGAAAATCGAATGTAGGTGTAGACCACTTAAACAAAATCCCTGAAATTGAGAAAAAATAAAGGCATATGTATAAGATACACATCCTCAACTAATTGAATAAAAAAGTCTTATAATTTTTTAACGGATAATAAACGGTGTAAAATTTTGTATCCCAATTTTGTAAGTATAGTAAATTAAAGAGGAAGAGAAGATAAAAGTTCCAGTTTCTTGACATGACAGCCTTTAACAACACGCCACAGTGTAGACCATATTGACACATCTTCAGACATTTGATGTTCATGATTGGGAACTAGAACTGGAACTGAAACTGCACTCTGCATAATAATTACATGCAAAATATGTAAGTGAAAAGAACAACATACAAAAATTTTAAACTAAAAACTCTAGTTAACATTTAAGCTGCTTTCGAATGTGTATTCCTACACCAATTTTTTTTTCCCTATAATGATCAACATTAAATGCGTTCTACCTATATATATTGTCGAATGAGTCAAGCTCGACGAAAACAAGCTATAATTTATGATACTTTTCTCCTACATAAAAAAATAATGAGATGCAAAAAACCCTATATATTTAGAGATCAAAATTAATTACACATAAAATATTTGTTGTAAAATTTCTTAAACATTCTTTGTACACTTAATGAAATCGATTGACTTTTTTTTTTCTGTTTTTCATATGTTATTGGACTAATACAATACAATACTTAGAAAACCGGACGGCCCCTTGACCTTGTAAGGAGCCGGTTCTCACTTTTCACGGTGATCCAATAAGTTTTAAACTTAACAGAAATACGCCTGATAAATTACACAGAAGTCCCTTCAGGTTTTAAATACAGCAAAAAAAACCCTCCAATCTGGACAGGAAACTGAAAGGGGACAATGGCGACAACAAAAATAGGCGGCCAACAGGACTTCAGGATGACGGGGGTTTTGATGCAGAGATGAAAGTGATGCTGATGGTAGTGTCAGGTGGGGTGATTGGCACCAGAATCAATGAAGAAGTTGCCGGTTGGACCTGCGATTCAATACTATTCCGTCCAACAGCGGCCCAATTCGGGCCAATTGCAAAACCGGGTTTGAGGGGTAAACCGGACCAGAGTTAGCGCCGCATATATAATTAATATTTAATACTTCTACAATAAATATTAGTGTAAAATAAAAATGATCCCAACCGATATACAAAATTGTAATTAAAAAAAAAAAAAAAACACAAAGTTATGATTCATTTGAATGTGACTGTATATTAGCACATTCAAATGAAAAGAGTAAAGGACATTTACCCTCATGGAATCCTGGTCGGTAAGATCTGTCTGCAAATTACTGCTGCTTCCTTCGACAAGCTGGATATTCTGAATCCCTTCTCCCACGTCTCAGATTCTCAGCTCTCCTGAAAAATGTTGACAAAAGGAAAATAATGATCGGAAGTAAGCAAGAAAGAAGATGCCTTAGCTCTTGCATAATAAGCTTTTGATTGAATTTAAACAAGCCATATATATATGGAAAGTTCAAGGAAGCAAGAAAAAAGATACCTGAGCTCCTGCATAATAAGCTTTTGACTTATGGAAGGTTCATGGAAGCAAGAAAGAAGATGCTTAGCTCTTGCATAATAAGCTTTTGATTGGTTTTAAATAAGCTACATATGGAAAGTTGAAAAAAAAAATTCTCAGCATAATAGAAAAAGCAATTGTCCGCGACTTGCTTTTGTTTTTTTTATTTCTTTAATTATTGTAATACTTCCCAATTCCCCAATTCCTATACACGTCTAAGTCGTCAAAGAATCAGCGTTGATGTCGCAAAAACCCCACAGATAACGTGTCGCGACGTGTCAAGAACGCCCTTTCACCACCACCGTACGTTTACACGATTTGTTTCAGAATTTTTCTCCTATAAAGACAAATAAAGTTTCATTAATCTCCAGAAACCCACCAACATCTATAATTCCTTCGAATAGGTAGTTTTTTTCTGAGCACACCAACAGAAAATCAACTCGGTTTGCTTTTCACCTGAAAAGCTCATAATTTCTGTGGAGCTTAAAGTAATGATCTTTAATCTCGTGGTTTGTTTTCTTATTTTGTTTGTTGGCTATAGAAAATTTTCCCAGAAACCAAACAGAAAATTATAAGCTTTTACGTTGCCGCCTTTAGCGTGTATTCTTTTAAAGATTTTCTTTTTCGTGTAAATATCCACAGCAATAGTGCAGTATGGTTTGACGGTATGTTTTCACCTTATTCAGATGGGAAAGGAATAATCCTAATTCCTTTGCCTCCCAATTTACAGTGGTATTGCATAATATAGAACCACATGTAAAAACCCCAACTTGTGCTAATGAGATTCCAAGGGGCAAAATAATGTAAGAATCTTGGATCCCTGATGACAAAACAAATTTATAAAAGAAGCAAATCCATTATGTATAGAATTCATAAGAACAAAAACCTTATATTTCATCAAAATCTATTACTTTGATAAATATAAAAACATTTTTGATGGGAGACACACACACACAAAATAAGAACAACCCATCAACACTTAAAAAAGATGGTCACTGCACAGAAACATCAGTTTCATGTCCAGCAGAAAGCAGAGGCTGTGATTCAGCTACCTCATTGCTAAACACCTTAGCAATCCTCTTGGTAGGGACCAACGGCAAATAAGTGGACACTCTGTATCCCTTCTCTGCGGTGCTAAGCACCGTTTCGTTGTACTTCTCGGAACAATAGGCAGCAGTGGGCACGAAAACTTGGGCCACTTGAGGGAAGAGTGGAAGCTGGTTGAGTTTGCGCCAAGTTGACACAGCGCATTGCTCGGCTTTTGGCTCGTACTTGGAGTAGAGCTCCTTGGCTGTTGGCTCGTACTTGGTGTAAACAGATTTTGCGATTACTGAGCCTGTGTCCACCACGCCAGCTCGTTTCACTTCAGAAGCCACTGATCGAGCCACCACTGGAGCCTGTTGAGCTGCAGAGAGAGCCTGAGCAGGAACTTGCTTCAGGACTGGAGGCACATGGGTGTCAATCTTGGTTTAAGCCTTTCCTTCAACTAGTTTTGGCTAGGAGGGTATATTTGTCTCATATCGTGAAATATTAGTGATGTATTTATATGTGGTTCAGCTGGTTGTGGCTGGGAGGATGTATTTGTCCCATATAGTTAAAGATTAGTGGTTTCTTATGATGTGTATATATATATGGTTGGGCTTCTTCATCCTCCTCAGCTTTTGGGCTAAAGTTTTACCCAATCTTACATTATCACTTAACCATAAAATCTAGAGATGTTCAAAAGAACCGATCAGAATCAGAGCTGATAGGTACTCGAGGTTTGGTTTCAGTTTCTACCTGGAACCACGGTCAATGGGTAAGTTCCAATTTCAAAAATTTGGAATTTACATTGTGCCGAACTGCAACAGTCGGAAACAGAACTGGAACTATCTTTGTTATAAAGATATATAAATATTATATACATAAACATTATATGTACTTTAAATTCTTTTGACGTTGAATTTGTAATTTTTCAACGAATTATTGTAATTTGTAATGTGAAATTCTTAGTTTCCATAAAGTTGAATTGGAGTTGGAAAACCTGAAGGCTTTATAATATATTTGTAATTTTATTTTTTTTAACAAATGCTAGGTGGGGGGTATTTGTAAGTTTTTAAGAGTTTTTTGTCATTTTATAAAATTTTGGGGGTAAATAAATTTTTTAATGTACTCTGAAGTGGAACTGTTGTTAAGGTTTTGATTCTGATTCCAATTCTTATTTCGATTCTTAAAAAATACAGGGAACCCGATCACCCCTTTATTAAAATCTATTTAATGCTATGCTATATGATATCTTCTTTAGAACATCAAATGTCCGCAAGCGCTTGTTGGAACTGCCAGTCTTTCTGAAACATCAGTAGCTGTCTGCCGGCGCAAGGGAAGAGCTGGGGAATCAACGAAACGCATTGCAGTAATGTGACAACAACGAGAGAGAAAACTTCAGCACGTCGTTGCACTATCCCATCGTCGCGAAACCAAAACATGGCGTCGGAAGGACAACATACTAGACGTAAATCAAATCACAACATAACTATCTCATATCTGCTTGGCCAGACAATACCACAACGCAGTCTCCAAAAGAAGAATTGAAATATATTCCGACGCAAAGCAGGCGCTCTAAAGCGCTTGTTAGAATGAAAGTGCAATTTATACAAGTAAATTCAACAAACAATATACTAAAAAAGTGCTGCAGGAAAATAAGAACAGCAGTTAACAAGCATGATTACACTAATTGCAGTTAATAATCTTAATTTCTAATTTCCAACTTCAGAAACTTGACTCATTCCACCAGTAACTGAAATACCTTTTTCCAGCTGCCACCTCATCAATCTATTCAGCACTTCCAAGTCAGCAGCACCTCCGCAGCATCTTGAGAGACACGTACGTTTAACAGCTCCAATGTAAATCAAGCTCTTTACGGACTTCTTTTCGGGAGATGAATATTTTCCTGGCAGCCATGCAGAATTCACTGCAATATTCAAATGAAACCCTCAAACCCATTTGCAGTCTTGAGTCTACAGTTGCTTATCGTTTGTTTGCTAAGAGAAACGTTAAGAAAATTTAGCCTCTCTTTTTCTATGCTTTCTAAATTCTCATTACAAAACCTGCATTGGATCGTTTCAATGAAAAGAAGACCAAAATGGCTCTCTAGAACTAAAGCTATAGACATTTCATGGCTCCCCCAGAGTAAGAAGATCAATAACAAAGAGAAAGGAGATACATAAATAAATGACATGCAAATGGCACTCACCCCCAAGAAATTTCATCTTCACGCAAGTAATGAGCTTCATCGGAAATGTCAAGGTAAAGTACATTCCATCTGTGTCTGTCTCCCCACAGCACTTTCTCAGTTTGAAACATTTCATCCCTCAGTTTCCTAAAAAGTTGTTCATAGCAGGTAACCATTGTCAAATCAATCATCATGTTCAAACGCATCCCTGTCACTGCCATATGTACCTGGAAGAAGATATTTACCTCTATCAAATATTTTCATGTAAATTGACAGACTAAGTATAAGTCTTTGTTCATGTAATAATTTTCTACAAGTGTGATGCCTCTAGCAAATAATCCTAATTTGCTCTCATTCAGTAAAATTCTGTGTATTTCATAATTTAGTAAAAAAGTTTTAGGACAGGGGGCTGAGAAAATTTTGACATCTAACAAACCCAAAACAATACTTAGGTGGACTCGACACACCAAATCATTCGCGTTCATCTTACAATATTACGACACATAATTCAATTAACTGCAAAACCAGGTAATTATGATTGTGCACATATCTATTTTTTTCTTGATCTAACAAAGCACGTAGGACTTTCATTAAAATTGAGAGGAAGCAACCCAAGTCAATCAAGCTCCATACCATAATATTTCGTAATCCATTGTGCNCAGTTGCTTATCGTTTGTTTGCTAAGAGAAACGTTAAGAAAATTTAGCCTCTCTTTTTCTATGCTTTCTAAATTCTCATTACAAAACCTGCATTGGTTAGTTTCAATGAAAACAAGACCATAATGGCTCCCCAGAACTAAAGCTATAGGCAGTTCATGGCTCCCCCAGAATAAGAAGGTCAATAACAAAGAGAAAGAAGAGACACGTAAATAAATGACAATGCAAATAGCACTCACCCCCAAGAAATTTCATCTTCGCGCAAGTAATGTGCTGCATTGGAAATGTCAAGGTAGAGTACATCCCATCTGGGTCTGTCTCCCCACAGCACTTTCTCAGCTAGAGACATTTCATCCCTCAGTTTCCTAAAAAGTTGTTCATAGCAGGTAACCATTGTCAAATCAATCACCATGTTCAAAGGCTTTCCTGTCACTGTCATATGTACCTGGAAGAAGATATTTACGGTTGTGCTCATATCTTATTTTTCCTTGATCTAACAAAGTAAGTAGGACTCTCATTAAAATGGAGAGGAAACAACCCAAGTCAATCAAGCTCCGTACCATAATATTTCGTGATCCATCATGCTGGTTGACTTGATTTTCAGCTGGTGGATCAGCCGCATTATGAATACCATTTTCATGTTCCATTCTGAAGGCAGAGACGGCAGAGAAAACACGATAAAAAGCAAAAGCTAGCGGCAAAAATGATAGATTATACTTATCATACACACCCTTCAGTTCGAAAGTAAGGTGAAGGAGTGTTGTAAGTAATTGGATCCCAGAAAATAAAAGCTCCACGTTCGCAATTGGTCTCTCATCTGGTAATCTGGTGGATCTTTCCTTAAAATACACCCATAACGTTGGGAAAAAAAAACCAATAGCGCCAAGACTAATGCAGCCACAATGAAACCAAGCTTGCCTTTCCCAGTGAAATCCAACAGACATGATATTGCCTCCAAAATAAGAAATAATACTGCAATTGCCCGTTTTTTATATTTATGGTGGAGATATACCATAACTGAGCACTTGTTACCGGGTAACCTGCCATCCTATGATAAAAGACAAAAGAAGTATAAGAACCAGAAAGGTCCAAAAATTCTTAAACATTCTAAATGTCACTTTCTGGTTTAAGTACTCAAACAACAAACCTTATCTTCATCCACCCTCTGCATGGTAAAGACAAAAGAAGAATAAGTAAGCTCCTTGTTTTGATATCCCAAATCAAATGCTATAATAATAGTAAATTTTATACTATACATTCGTTCTCAACATATTACATTGCTGTTTGACCTAAAAGGCTTAGCTTTTAGTTCAAACGATAATTTAACATAAAAAAGGTTTTCAAAATGAATAATGTTATACTTACAACCACACAAACAAATAAGTAAGATTTATATAAAATGACTACTATGTCATATATTTTTTGTCTGTTTATACGTTTGATTATATGGTTCAGTTGTAAACATATTATCACTCGAGAATGAATTCATACACTTGGATATCTTGTGATTGATCATGCCGGAGAACATGACGATCCGTTTCTGACACACGGGAGGCAAGGTCATCAGGTAATCTGCAGAAATCACTCTGAAAACTTTCATGATGGTCCTCATCAATTTGCACACGCAGGTGATTTGGCTTACTAGGCTCACTGGATGGCTTCTTTTCGAAAAGGAGCTCAGTAACTATTAAGGTATAACAGAGTAGTCGCAAAACCGCTCCACTAATTAAGATCTCGATCTTAGGTTCAAAAACAAAAGCATAGCGTGATAATAAAACAGAGAACTGAAAAAGAAAGAGGCTGAACATCTCCCGATGATCATGCCAATCAATGTCACGAACTGAGCAAAATGAAATAAAATACGAGTGCAAGTCTCCAGTTAATAGAATTCCGTAACCCGTCTCCAAGTAATAGATAGCATAAACATGATATTGCCTCGAAGACAACAAATCCTGTGAAAAACGAACGTAGGTGTAGACCATTTAAACAGAACCCCTGCAATTAAGAAAATAAAGCATATATATAAGATACACATCCTCAAACTTTGTATCCCAATTTTGCAAGTTGGAAGAGAAGATAAAAGGTCCAGTTTCTTTACAAGATAGATAGCCTTTAACAACACGCCATAGTGTAGACCATATTGACACATCTTCAGACGCAGATAAATCTGCAAACATTGCACGAGTAGAAATGAATATCCTTATGATGTAACAAACATAAGTTTATGTATAAAACAGTCAAAGAATCAAATTGTCTGTTCTTTTAGTAGTGGGCTTGACACGACCCGCCTCGACCCTCCCTACCTCATAAGCTCCGGGCGCACCTATGAGACTCAGGCGGCCGAGACGTGCCGTGTGGGAATCTAAAAACCTGTATTCTAAATAAATTTTTCATAAAAACATTTGCTTGGACTCGTTTTGAAAGCATAAACACATAAGATATATATATATGTATACATTTGAAAATCTGAAAGCTAACTTGTACGTTCATAAAATCCAAAAACGGATGGTATCAGATATTCATATCTTTTATAATCAACACAGGAGATAAACATAAGGATAAAACATAATTCGGTAGCGGTAACAAGCATGACATTTTACACACATGTGAGTCGATGACGTAGGGCCCAACCTCGAGAGGAATCACTCCTCAGTGCGACTCTTCCTGTGAACCTGGAAAAAGGGTCTAAAAAGGGGTGAGCTGAAATACTCAGTGAGTGGGGGTGGGGAGAGTTTGCAAAACATTCTTCAACAATAGTCATGCATGCATGTATAACTCGTTTTCTAAAGTTGTTCTAAGTACTGTAATCTCATCATTAAATGAAACAATATCTCTATTATATAGCTCATCATTAAATATTGAAAACTTTTATGAGAACTTAAAGAATAGCTGTAAATGCTCATGCTTCTAAGACAATGTTTTCTATAAATCATGCTAAAACATAAAATGTTTCATATAACTAATGCAAACATCCTCATATACTGAAACTGAAACTATTAACTGATACTGAAAACTGTAGGCTGGTATCTGAAAACTTTAAACTGATATCCTGTTTCGAAATAGTAAACTGATACTGTAGCTTTTACTGTTACTGAAAACTATAGCTAATATCTTATTTCAAAAACGGGGCTAATACCGAAGGCTTCTTAATATTTTGAAAGCTCATATTGAGACTATGCTCATACTGATAATACAAACTGAATGTGATTTGAAATTCTAAAAATGAAGATATAATAACAGAAAACCCTCACCGAACTAGTACCCTGGGGGAAAATCTCGATACCTAGCGGGCATCCCACACACAGGCGAGCTGGGAAAAACATCTCAATACCCAGCAAGATATCATCCGCGGCGGCAGAGCTGAAGAAAAACATCTCATACTGGCGGACAAGCTCAACGCCCAGGCAGAGCACTAATATCTCAATACGCATGGCAGAGCCTGAAGACCAAAATCTATCTCAATACCCAGCGGAATCCTGATGCGTGGCAGAGCCTGAAAACTGGAGGATGGGTACTTCGTAGGGTGGTTTTAGCACTATAACAATCTCATGCATAATCTCAAGTAACATATAAGTCAGAAACATATTTCGTAAGGTGCTAAATAACATACATATAGACATAATATTCAAAAATCACATCCAGGGTGAAACTGAAAATTTCCAAACATGTTTTAAAACTGACAGTTTACCCAGATTAAAAATTACTTTCAACATCACATTTCCATAGCATATGTCCATCACTAATCATAAGATATATACCACATTTCATATAAAAGTAAATCATGCCAAATCGTATGAAATTCCTGCAAAATGGGGGTAGAATACAAGTTTTAAAACATACTTTCAAAACTGACAGAATGCACCTTCTCTTTTTCTTTTACCAAGAAACCATCTACCAACATCACAATCCTCAACCGTATACAATCAACCATTCTCTACTCTCAACAGCAACATTTTATTCATATAGCATGAATACATATAAATTCTATATACCAAACTTCATCAAAACATTTAAAATAAAATCACAATTAACATGTAAACATGGATTTCAGCTTTTGGAAGAAGATTGGTTTAATCACTCATCAAGTCGAGCTATAATTTCAATGGAGCATTCTAGACAAATATATGTGGTCCAGTAATATTTTCAAGTCATTTCAAATCAATAACTATTTAAAACACAATTTTCTTTCAACTCATTTAACTCTGTCAACTGTTTCCAGAATTGAGGTTACTGACTTGTAAAATTCATACAATTCAGCCCTTAATCTAATCCACATGAAACTCTCCAGAATTAAACTAGACGCACATAGGATTCACCAGAATTTAAAATCACTCAATTTGGATAAGTATAAGTGCATTATTTCAGTTTTGAAAAATGCATGCTCTACAGAAAACATGAAATTCCAGAATTCATAGCGGAATTCAAATTCATTAAAAAATCCATACTTCGAATTTGGGGTGAAATCAATTTTAACCAATCTCTAATAAGTCTAAAACAAAATATCTGAATTTAGCTTCATTTGCAAACCCGAAACATATATAAATTTTCAGAAGTTCAGGCTGTCAGAATTCACAGCATAACTTTTATAACCAAAACATACTTTAATAACTCTTGGTTCTTTAGGATCAATAAATATGCTCTACCCATATAAAACCTATTGCATTAAATCTCCAATTTCAGCAACAACACACATTCAGCCACCATATCCAACATACTGCTTCCCAAATTCTGTTCTATCACAAACATTGTGAATATGCATAAAAATGACTATGCTTGTCAAAATTAATCAATATATGAAATCCATAATTTCCATACCCTTCATTCCACCATTACTGCCACCAATTAATTCCCAAACAAACCAGCCCTACCAAAAATTAGCTGGAATTATCATCATCAACCAAATCAAACAGGCGGAAACACAAAATTCTGCTTTCCATTCAACAACATTGGTATAGGCATTATATTATACATGCATGTCCACACTTACTTACAAATTTTATGATATGTACATCATTCACATGCATGCCAAAGATAATTTATAGAAGATGAATATAACCATATCAAAACTGAAATAAATTCGAAGTTAATTTATGCAACATGAAGAAATCATTCACTAAAACATGATTTATGCAAAACTCTACTATTCCACTCTCAAACATCATCTCATAAGGATTTTTGCAAAAAACAAATGAACGTAATAGAAGGAAATCACATGCAAGGCATAAGCTTAAATCTTTTTTTTTTAGAGACAGTTTAGATCCACTACTATTCTAACTCAACCGAAGCTCCCTGCACTCTCCTCCACTCTTCTCTTCTGATCCTCTCAAGCTGCATGCATTAACAACCCGAACATGGGTTACAACTAGTCTGCTCTTCTTTTCTCCTTCCACTATTTTCATTTCATCTCCTCCATTTCTCTCTCACTCTACCTTTTCAGCCGAACCCATTCCCTCACTTCCCTTTTCTTCTTCTTTTCGTATCTCTCCTTTTCTTTTCTCTCTTCTCTTTCTCTCTTCTCCTTTCGTTTCTCTTCTCTCCTTTTTTTTTTTTTTCTTTTCTGCTCTGTTTTCGCTTTCTCCCTCAACTCTCATATTCTTCTTCCCTTTGGGCGAACAACCCTTTCTTTTTCTTTTTTTATATTTTAAATCTTTCTAAATTTATGCTTCTGCCCCTAATTACAGGTAATCCTGCTAAACCCCTAACCACATCAGCTTTTTTCAAAAAACCTCCAGATTTTGCTCCTTATTACATGCAAACCCAGCAGCTTCCTTTTCTTGCAAATTTACAATATGAAAACTTTTAAAAACTAACGAGAATCCCCTCCAAAAAAATAAATCACACAAAATATTATATATGTATTAGGATTAAAAACGGGGTTTCACAGGTCATCACCTAATGGAACCATGTTGATATTATATTGGGAAACGGAATGCACTCTGCAACTTCCCCGTAGTGTTAAAAGACACGGTAAAGGTTAGTGCCGCACCATAATAAGAGTAATGTTAGTAGTACTTAATTCTCTATTCACCTTTGTTGGAAATGTAGTCTCATTCACTTTTCCATTGTGTTCAAACACAGTGGAGTAAGAGAAGTGAGTAAGATACCCATTACTCTATAATTCAATA